GTTATTTTGCCTTTGATGTAAATAAACATGTGCAAACAATATACTTGCTCTTGTGAATTTATTTGGATGTTAATTACATTGTGTGAGCTGTCTCTTTAATACAGCGTGGTTTATATGCATGCTGCTGCTGATTGGGCTGACATTTTTGACACACCCACCAAACAAGAGAAAACGTATCTCAAACCCTGTTGCACACCGTTTCCAGGAAACATGTCGTTCAACCCGGAAACCGTAGCAAAATGGTGCACACCGGTTTGAGCTTGAACTTGCCTCAGGTTATGTTCTGAGTAAGAGATCAAACTGAAATTGGACCAATCAGCTGTGAGCAAAGTGACATGTGTGACACAGAAAAGTCACTCCCCCAGTTTCTCTTCCTCCAAATTAAAGGTCACTATACAGTTTTAAAAAATGTCTGGCTTTAATGATAATTAATTATTGATAATTATTGTATATGACTTGTTTAATTATTATATGGTTTATATTATTATTAATCAATCACACACAAATAATTTTTGTTTAACAATAATTATAAAGCATTTATTTTAAATGAATATTAATTTATAGATCATATGTAATATAAATAATTCAACAGATAAATAAATCAATCAATAGATAACTCTTTAAAAATGACTACATGTGACCGTGCATGTTCGAGTCTCTATCGCTATATATTATCAACTATATAAACTAACTTCACAAGTTTCACTTGTGACTGCACTGATAGAGCAAGATAAGTTATTTTATTTGTCCTTTTTCATGGACAACACTTTAGTGTAAATTTACTTTAGTGTTTCAGTTGTTAAGTGTAGAGGTTTGAATCTCGCTGGCTCTCTCGCGAGAAGTGAATCACACTTGCTCTGTGTTGCAAGGCATGTGATTGGCTGTTCGCCACTAATGTCACAATTTCATGTGCACACGCTCCAAAAACTCAGGATCAAAGCCCAAGTTGACAAAGAAAGTTGATGATCAGCATCATGGTACCAACAAAGCCGGATTGGAGTGGTTTGGTTTGTCAACTCGAAACTAATCCTGTAACTATGAATTTGTTTAACTACCATCATGGTACAGGCCCATGGTCAGGCATAATTGATTTATTAAACAAACAGATGAAAAATTTTGTCTGATGTTATATATTGAAATAAACAAAATAATCTGATTATTCTGATGATGCCATCAAACATTAAAGTTGTTAGCTTCTGTGTAAAAATATAAAGGATTTTCAAGACAAACATAATTACAAGTTGAGAAAGTGTATTATTATAGATGCATATTGTGTTTGTTCTGTAAATCATTGTTACTTTTTAAATAGAGACAAACAGCTTCTGTTGCCACCTCAAGAGTATAGTGGATATGTATCATAATTGGTTAAATTAATCATGTTACAGTTTCCAACACAACTGGCCACTCTTAGCACAAAATATTGTGTTTCTGATATTTGTATTTTGTAGTTACAAATAGTAGTTACAAGTGTACTTCAAAGATTCTGAGACCCCTCTTCTTCTACATATATACTCTTAACTTTGACATATTGGATAGTGGATTTCTCAGCATGAATGAAAGAACAGCCAATTCACCATCACAACAGCATCCACCAGCAAACTTTTACCGTCCAGGTCATAATTATCAACAATAATCACAAATCTTGTGGTAATATTTTTATGATGAGATTATCAGGCCCTTCCTAACTGGACATGCTCCACAACACTTTGCCCAGGCTTGTCATTACTAGACTGGACTATTTCAATTATCTTCTGGCTAGACTTACAACATGTGCAAACAAAATTCAACAAATGATCTAGAATGCAGCAACATGATTTAGTCTTCATCTCACTGCACTGGCTACCAGTTGCTGCTTGCATCAAAATTCAAGATATTGATGTTT